ACACACACACACACACACACACACACACACACACACACACACACACACAGAGTATTTCTTGTTGGTCTCACTGTAGACTCCTGTCAATGGTGGTTTGCAGGAGGGTCTTCGGGTATACATGACTGTTGAGGAGCAAGCTTAGCTTCTCCAGCGCTGTGATTGTCCTCTCTCCTACTCCAGAGTACACATCGTCATGGAGACTCCTCTTGAGAAGGCGCTGACCACCATGGTCACCACTTTCCATAAATATTCAGGGAGAGAGGGTAGCAAGTTGACCCTGAGTAGGAAAGAACTGAAGGAGTTGATCAAGACAGAGCTGAGCCTTGCAGAGGTATGTGGACATTCTTCCATATCCCACTCCTTCTGGAAGATACCCATCTACTCTTAGGGTAATAAGTTTAAGGAAGTGTCAGGATTGCTAAAGGGCCAGAGACAGGGGAAGAGTTGGGCATCCCTGGCTACCAAGTCCCTAGACCTCTGTGCTGGAAAAGAGGTGAGTCTGGGGTGGACTACTGCCCATGGGAGGCTAAGGAATTAGATAAAGGATACTTTGATGATAGCCTATGTTAGGGATCTTGAGGGTTTGAGGGATGTAGGATGCCAGGTTTGGCTGTGTATGACCGGAGGGTAGGAATCCTTTTTGGTTCTCCCCCGTGCCTGACAGAGCCAAGGTCCTAAGTGATGCTGACAAATAGACTAATAGGCTGATTTGTGAACATGGGGTGAGAAGGAGAGAGCTTTGATTCTGATCGGATGGCATGACAGGAGTGGTGAGGGGCTGATGTGAGGCTCTAAATGATGGAATAACTGAGCCTTGGAAACATCAGAGACCTTGTCCATTGGGATTGAGCTGGAATTCTAGACCTCTGCACCAACCTCTTAGTTATTTTTATAATGAAGTCCTAAATCCTAGTGTCCCCAGAGAGAAGGTTTTTGGAGTACGTCTATGGTCAGTGGCAAATTCGTTGCCACTCTTCCTAGGCCTCTCTCTCCAAGGCACACGACGTTTACCGTAGCATATACATTTTCTTCTCTTTTCTTTTTGAGGCAGGCTTTCTCTATGTAGACTTAGCTGCCCTGGAACTCACTCTGTAGTTCCTTACCAGGCCAGCCTCCAGCTCACAGAGATCCACTTGCCTTTGCTTCCTGAGTGCCACTACACGTGGCCTGGCACATACATTGTCAACCCCAGAAACTGCTTTTGCTATCCTGGAGCTGATGAAGATAGAGGGGAGGACCTCTGATTCATCTGGTGCTAATTACTGGGGGACAGAGCCCCAGGGGAGGAGCTCAGTGTGGGGACCAGGATCATGTTACAGAGAAGCAGTTTCTACCACCATGAGTATTAACATCCTGAATCCAAGGGAGACCTAGAACTGATTGCAATGGAGGGAAAGTAGGGTGTGCATATTTGCATTTTCTTGTTTTACCCTAAGGCTCTGTCTTTAACTTCCTAGTAGAGCCAGGATGCAGGAACCAAACTGGGAAGACATCTGGTGCCAGGCCGGGTCTTGGGGCAGGGGGTATGCTGGTTTCTCAGCTCTAGTATACTGATTTTACAGAGAGTAGTGATGTCTGGATCCTTTCCCAGCTTGGCCTTACAATGCAGGTAGGCTAAGTCTAGGACTTAACTCAGGACGATGGCCAGGCCTCAAGCTGTTTTCAGTAGGTATTGGTATGAATTATAGATTATTATTTCTTTGGGTAGGAAGATGTCCCAGCAGTGAAGGCTAGACTAGCCTTCCTACTGTAATTCATTTGGAATCAGCACGCAGGTCATTGACCTCATTTGGAGCCGGGTCCTGTGGTAAAGGTGTGGGTTGGGGCTGAGCTGCTGAGCAGTCTTCCCCCCCTGGGCTCTTGCAGAAGATGCAGGAGAGCAGCATTGATAACTTGATGAAGAGCCTGGACAAAAACAGCGACCAGGAGATTGACTTCAAGGAGTACTCTGTGTTCCTGACCACGCTGTGCATGGCCTACAATGACTTCTTCCTAGAGGACAACAAGTGACCAGGATCCTCTCCACCCTCACCAGCAGCTCCTTGTCCTGACCTCTGCGGTCTCTGCGGTCTCCTATGCCCCCTGCCCTTCTCTTTCTCCCAGATGGATTCTTCCAGCAGAGAAATAAAGCCTTATCCATTGCATATGCTGGTTTTAAGGTGGTTTGTCTCGCTTGGCTGAGGCAGGGGAAAACAGACATTTTGTACCACTCAGCCTTAGGCCACTCACGGGTGGTCTGCAGGTACAGGAGCTGGGCTGTCACCCCATGCCACTGGCTGTCCTTTATCCTGGACAGCTGGATGTGTTCTGGATTTGTTCTGAACTCCTATAAAATAACAAAGCCGCCCAGACAGCAAAGATGCAGCAAAAACAACAGAGAAAAGCACTGTGAGAGCCAGGAGGTCAGAGGGATGGGCTGTGCTGCTGCTGCAGTGACGGTCCGGCAGGTCTGACTTGGGATCAGCCGGAGGGAGACCACCCCAGGAGCCCTAGTAAAGAAGGGAGTCCTAGCCCTTCTCCCCTCCACCCTTCCAGGAGCACCCTTCCCATTACTCACTGAAGAGTGACTTCAGGATGCTAATCCCTCCCCACACCCCACCAACTTCCTCTTCTTAAGACTTTTTTTTTTCAGGAGAAAATGTTCAAAACTTTTCACTTGAGATGAGTAACTAAGAATGCTCGCTGGGCTTGGCTCCACTGTGTGCACATCAATGATAAGCTGCTCTAAGGATGAAATTCCAGGCAGTGAGTGGGAGGAGGCGAGTGATGTTAGAAATTTATGGTTGGCCGGGAAGACTGTGTTCCTCTGCCGCCGCCCCCTTTTTGAGGCAAGGGTCTTATATAGGTTAGCTCTAAATTCTACCTCTTGGGATCAACCTATTTAGCTATATCATCAAGATTTAGACCAGTGGTTCTCAACCTGTGGGTTGAGACCCTTTTCACAGGAATTGCCTAAGACCATCTGAAAATACAGATATTTACACTATGATTCATAACAGTAGCAGAATTATAGTTATGAAGTAGCAATGAAAATAATTTTATGGTTGGGGGATCACCACAACATGAAGAACTGTATTAAAGGGTCACAACGTTAGAAAGGTTAAGAACCGTTATCTTAGAGGATCTGGTAGACGAACTGCTTCCCCTCCCTCACTTGGAGTTGACCTTGCCACTAGAGGGCAACAGCATCAGTGTGGTTCCCAGCCCCCTCACACTGACGCTAACTTTAAGGACACCGCTCTCAGGCTGGCAGAAGGTTCAGCACACAAGCCAGAGTTACGAGTCACGTGCCAGGAAGGCAAACTAAACACGGAATTAGAGAAAACTCGATGTCTCCGGCTTGCACTGGTCTCCTCTGGGCCCGTCAGGGTCCACCAGGCTCCCTCATCTCGCTCCAAATCCTGGACAGTCCAGGCAACAGGGGCGTGGAAAGTCGAGGGGACTGGGAGGTGTGTTTGCCTTGCCTCAGGCGCTGGGTGGGGTTGGGGCGTGCCAGCACTCCCTCCCTGGGCGGGCCACACGGATGCTGGCCACTATAAGGCCAGCCAGACTGCGACACAGTCCATCCCCTCGACCACTCGTTTGGTGCTTCGCTGTCGACCGTGCGGTGAGCTCTCGCTGCGGGGATGCTTCTAGGGTCTGTCTGCTCCTGGGCTAGGGGTTAAGCCACTTCCTGCCCCAGTCAGCTCTTCAGGCTCCGTGGGTGGAATGCATTGGGATCCAAGTTTTTGGAGCTCAGGGAGGCAGGGAGAGCCATGATTAGCTGGGCCGTACCAGGCAAATCCCTGAGGCTAAGGCATCCCTATGGGGCGGCAACCTGAGTCTTCTCTTTTGGGGTGCAGGAGGGTTTGCCCTGGGTGTGTCATCGTCGTCCCAGTGTGTGGCCCTGTCAGGAGTTGCCCAGGGGCAGCCTCCATTCTTTTCCTTGCTCGGTCATATTCCCCAGTTCTCTTGGAAGCCCTGGAGGACAGTGTTCACAGACCCCAAAGCCCCTTCTATCCTTATATCCCTCACCTCAGTTGCCTTGGCTGCCACCTGTGTTGGCTTGAGGCTGGCTGCTTCAGGCAGGTAGTTACCCGGCTCAGGGGATGGTGAGAGAACTCTGCTATCAGCACTGCTGAATAGCCCCTCTGTCAAACAGCTTCTTCTAGCCCAGTGATCAGTCATGGCATGCCCTCTGGATCAGGCCATTGGCCTTCTCGTGGCCATCTTCCACAAGTACTCTGGCAAGGAAGGTGACAAGCACACCCTGAGCAAGAAGGAGCTGAAGGAGCTGATCCAGAAGGAGCTCACCATTGGCTCTGTGAGTAGCCCCTGTCCGGGTTCCCCCGCCCACCACTTATCTGAGTGACATTTAATCACAGTTCCTGATCTTACTTCCTGTGGAGGGATGTCTGTATGCTTCCATCCTGTCCTATCCCCTGAGGGAGGAGCAGGGGCTGAGGAGAGTAAATCAAGGTAAACTCAAGCTGAACGCCCATCTTTGGTCACAATGAACAGAGCTAGTTGTATGAGAGAGGGCTTCCAGGGAAGGGGAAAGGAATCTAGGGTGCTGGCCACCATTGAGTGTGGACTTCTCTTTTTAATGTATTAGAAGCTGCAGGATGCTGAAATTGCAAGGCTGATGGATGATCTGGACCGTAACAAGGATCAGGAAGTAAACTTCCAGGAGTATGTCGCCTTCCTGGGGGCCTTGGCTTTGATCTACAATGAAGCTCTGAAATAAAATGGGAAGGTAGAGATGCCTTCTGGGGGCCTATCTCAGTCAAATCCAGTGGTGGGTAATTATACAATAAATCTTCCATTTTTATTACGCCTCCTCTTGTGCCCTGGTGTCCCACTGATTTTCAGTTGCTTCCGGGCTTGCTGCTGAATCTCTGAGCTCACCAGGAAGCTTTCTGGGTATTAGAGGAGGCGCCCCCTCTAGGCAAAGCCACTTTAAACAAAGGCTCAATCAAGTGATCTCCAGGAGAAAGCGGTCCCTGGAAGCAGGGCGGCAGTGGTCCCAGCAGTCTCCTGGAAGACACACTTTGGTCTGGGTGTGGTGTGTCGGGGAGTACTAGATGGGCCCCGACGTTGGGCAATCCAACTTTTCACGGTGTGTTTGTGTGCTATATGAGGGAGGGGTGGGGAGAGGCACATCTGAGCAGGGACACAGGATGATTGAGGTTTCTGTAGCTGCCTGTGTTCCAGTTGGAGGTGGAGGAGACTTTAGGAGACTGTGCCTAGTATCATGTATGGGGTCCTTTTTGTTTGGTGGTAAGCCAAGGAACTGGCAGCTCCATGAGCATGTGACTCACGAGGTGCTCATAAACAGGGCAGGGTTGGGGGGTCCTTAAACATGCCAAATGTGGCTTCAGGCCTTTCTGTCAATATTGACCCAGCCTGTCCCTGCAGAATGACTCATGGGGCTACTCCCTTGGAACCCAGTGGAGCCCTCAATCTCTATCAGAGTAGATGGCCAACTGAGTTACTGCCTACGGTGTACATTAGCAGTCAAGTCATAGGTGTGGGGAGAGCTGTGTGTGATGTGTCTGGGGAGCCTAACTCAAGTTGGGCAGCATCCTTGCCAAGACCCGAGGGGAAAAGATCTGGACTTCATGTGGAGACCATAGCCATTCTATTTTCTTATCACCCACCCCTTCTCCAGTCACCTTTACGACATTAAGTGGTCTTCCCTTGCTCTGGTTGGGGGCTAGTAAACAGCAATAGCTGTACTTCTTAAAAACTTTTCTTCTCCAGCAGTGTTCTAGTCTTACCACGTTGTTTGACAGCCAGAGGGTCCCCGGGCCACCCCCAAACCCTTGCTGTTCAGCATAGGATCTATTCAGTGGCTCTGGAAAAGTACTTCTATGTGCCGCCCACACCCAGTTGTTGATACTTTGGGGTGTGGAATGATCGCCCTCTTGTGGACAGAGAGCAGGTTACCGGTAGGGAAGCTGGGGTGGGGGTGGGGGTGGTGGGCGTGGCGAGAAGGAGCGGGGGTGGGGGTTGGGGGGAAGGATTGTGGCGGGGCATAGGAAGAAAGTCATTTGATTTTCTGAGCCTTGTGGAAGGAGCAACGGCACCAGCACCGGGGTTGGGAGCCAAAGACTAAGAGGTCTAGGCTGTTATAGAATTAGCTATTCAGGGAATGTAATGGTCGAGTCATCGTTCAGTTCTCAGCAGTCAACCCCACTTCATCCGAGGTACATCTATTATACGCAAGTCAAGGAAGGGAAAGTTATTGTAAAGACAAGTGGAATCCAGTCCCACCCCGCCCTCCTCTTTCTGCGGTTAGAAAACCAAGACAATCAACTAGGTTCTTGGAGGGCAAGGGGGAGTTTTTTCCGGGTGCAGGGCCTGGTGGTGGAAGGAGATGCTCTGTCCCTCAGGAGGCCAGTCAGGGCTGCATACTAAGACACAGTCTTAATGAAAAAGTAAAGTGTGTGTGTGTGTGTGGGTAGGGGTGTGTGTAGTAGTGGTGGGGGGAAGCTTTAAAAAAAAAGAACAAAACAAAGTGAAATAAAAATGAGTAGCAAAACTTTTGGCTGCGTTGGGGATATAGTTTAAAATTGAGAAGCGAAAGGGCCATTTACACTGGAAATTTTGTGAGGGCATAAGGCAAAGGGTGGAATTGGGTGTGGTCAGGTGTACACTGACTTCTTTCATTAGTCCAAAAGATTTCAAGTTGGCTTTTGAGCATCGTCTAGGTTCCCAGGAGAGGGCTGGAGCTGGGGACTTGCAGCAGATTCCTTCCCTGCAGATGGCCCAGGACTACACCCAAAGGTTGGGCAGAGGGAGTGGCCCTACTCCCTGACTTACTGTTGTCAGGCTCTATTCTTTCCTTGCCCTGCCTAAGTTACCCTTACTTGTGAGAGGCTGGAACAGTGGCAACTGTTTCTATAAACTGGGTGGTCTCCCAGCTTGGGGGTTGGAGCGGGACTGATTTGGGATGTATTATCTGTCCTCTGCCATGGAAACTGTCATCTGAAACTGTCAAGAATGCCAGCACCACTTCCCACAGCGTCTGTGTCCTACAGCACTTGAATTTGTACAAGGTGCTACTACACCTACTGTGACCTCATCTCCAGAAGAATTCTGTGTAGTGTGGGTTACTAAAGGCTAGAGTTGCAGGATGTCCACCAAGGTGGGACAGTAGACATTCTTGGAGGAAATGAACTCTTCTGACCCCAGGCCAGCTCATCAATGCTTTCCTCTGCTGCTTCAGGATTTAATGTCACTATTTCTTCTTTATCCCTTTTTCTTAAATGTTTTAATTAAATTTCAAGAATATCCAAACAGATTATAGACTATACCTAAAATTTAAAAATTGCAACACAAAACAACCAGTCTAAAAAACAAATATGGAGGTACATGTCTTTAATCCTAGTACTTGGGAGGCAGAGGCAGGTGGATCCCTGATTCTGAGGCCAGCCTGGTTTATAGAGTGAGTTCCAGGACAGCCAGGGCTACACAGAGAAACCTTGTTGCAAAAAAACAAAAACAAAATACAAACAAACAAAACCAAAAATAACAAAACAAAACAAAACAAAAACCCCAAAAGACCAACTAACCAAATAAACAAAAAACAAGCCCTAACATTTTTCTGAGATGAGATGAGTCAGTAAAAACATTTGGTGTTAAGCCTGCTGACCTGAAATAATCCCTAGGACCCACATGGTGGCAGGGGAGAATTGATTCCTGTAAGTTGTCTCTGACTTCCATATACATGCTGTGGCATGTGTGCCCATATATGTGTGCACACATGCATGTGCACACAGAAATGAATAAATGTAATATAATTAAAAAAGAGAAACGAGGTTGGAGAGTTAGCTCAGCAGAGGACTGAAACTGGGTCCCCAGTACCCACATGGGGCAGCTCAGAATGGCCTGAACTCCAGATCCGAGGGATCTAACTGGTGCCCTCTTCTGGACACTGCAGCCACGTGCACGCAATTGCACATTTTATATTCTCCAGTACACATATATACATCTAATTTAAAAATAATCTTAAATCTTTAAAAGAGAGAAACACTGTAACAGGTATAGAGTTTGATTAATTCTTCCAGAGTGGCTCAAAGAACCAGCCAGACAACCTTTGTGTGCTGGTTCATTAGGGAGCTAATGAAGGAAGCAGATCAACAGCCAGATGAACAAGATGCCCAAGACCAGGCATGTGAGGAGTAAAGGACTCTCCTGCCTTCTCTGGGCACTTTACACTCAAGGAAACTTTATATATTCTAAAGGCTAGCTGAGCCCTCATATTCATTTTATTTGTACAGTCTGTCATGTAGTCACAGAAGGCCTTGACCTTGCTTTGTGGCTGAAGCATGTTATGAATTCCTGATCCTCTTCTTTCTCACTTCTGAGTGTTGGATCACAGTGCCTGATCCTTTTAGGTTATCTGTGGAAGCTTCATTAGGAAATGTGATTGATTACATCCCTAGCCACTGATCAAGTTTGCCTTCAGCTCTGGAGGTTGCCATGTGAGGATGAAAGTGTTAATCATGAACATCCAAGGCTTTCTGATGACCAATTCCACCTTATTTTGGGCCACTGGACATCTCATTAGTTTACAGTCCTAGTTAGGGTTACTGTTTCTATGATGAAACACCGTGACAAAATTGTGGAGGAAAAGGTTCATTTGGCTTATACTTCCACATCATAGTCCATCATTGAAGAGAGTCAGGGCAGGATGAGTTTGAGTAACAGGGCAGGAAGTTGGAGGGAGGAGCTGATGCAGAGGCCATGGAGGAGTGGTGTTTGCTGGCTTGCTTCCCATGGCTTAATCAGCCTGTTTCCTTATGGAACCCAGACCACCAGCCCAGGGATGGCAGCATCCAACCCTGTGGGCTGGGCCCTTCCACATCAATTATCGATTAAGAAAATGCCTCCTCCATGGGCATGACATGCACGTGGAACACTTACATACATGCAAAGCAAACCACCAATATACATAATATAAAAACGAATAAATCAGGCATGGTGCCACAGACCTTTAATCCTAGCACTCTGGAGCTAAAGGTGGGCAGATCTCTATGAGTTCCTGGTTAGCCAAGGTTACTTAAGAAGATCCTGTCTCAAAACAAAATAAAATAAAACCTGAACAAATACTCTCTCTCAAGTAAATAAATATTAAAAAAAAAATATACTTGAGAGTTGTAAGGCTACTTTCCATCCCACAATTCCTTGCGCCCTTCCTTTCCAACTTGGGTCCGGCAGAATGGCTCCCGCAAAGATGGGTGGCGAGAAGAAGAAGGGCCGTTCTGCCATCAACGAGGTGGTGACCCGAGAATACACCATCAACATTCACAAGCGCATCCATGGAGTGGGCTTCAAGAAGCGTGCTCCTCGGGCACTCAAAGAAATTCGAAAGTTTGCCATGAAGGAAATGGGGACTCCAGATGTGCGCATTGACACCAGGCTCAATAAAGCCGTCTGGGCCAAGGGAATAAGGAATGTTCCGTATCGCATCCGAGTACATTTGTTCAGAAAACGTAATGAAGATGAGGATTCACCAAACAAGCTCTACACGTTGGTAACTTACGTGCCTGTTACCACATTCAAAAATCTACAGACGGTCAATGTGGATGAGAACTAACCTGCTGAATGTCAAATAAAGTTGCAGTACTGCCTAAAAAAAAAAAATACTTGAGTGTGAGATGTTCCACAATAAATTTCACAATAAAACTTTTTGGAATTTGATTGGCATTGCTTTGGTTTTGTAGAGCAGCTTGTAGAGAATGTTGATCCTTGAAACCCATGAACACGATTTATCTTTCGTTTGTTTGAGACAGGGTTTTTTTTATGTAGACCTGGATCTCCTGGAACTAGTTC